CTTGGCAATTACATAAAGAAAATAAAACAAGAACAAATAACAGGCCCATTAAGTGAGGCCTATCAACATAAAATAAAAGATAAAAATAAAGGATATCACACAAGCAGCTGTTAGGGCCCATTCGGCCCAGTCTCTTTACATAGTCATCATTTGATCCACAGAACCTCGTTCCACATGTTCATAAACTTTCACCAAATCAGCTTTTCCATGTTAGGTTGGATTTCCCTTCCTGGCTTTGGAATCTATATATTCACAGGCCACAAGATAATTTCAAAACATGTGTACCTTTCATAAAAGCACCTTGTAAAGAGATAACAAGAGCAACAGATTTATAGGCCTTGATCCAACCCTGTAATTTGTTTCTCTATTTATCCTCTTTTGTCCAATCCAATATTAAGATTCCTGGCTTTGGAATCTATACATTCACAGGCTACAAGATAATTTCAAAACAAGTCTACCTTTCATAAAAGCACCTTGTAAAGAGATAACAAGACCAACAGACTTATAGTCCTTGATCCAACCCTGTAATTTGTTTCTCTATTTATCCTCTTTTGCCCAATTCAATATTAAGATTCTTTCCCTACCTGAAATTCTTTGAATTAGACAGTTCATATTTTTCCCAAAATTACCTCATAATTCTCTCATTCACTCCCATTTAAGGTGTTCATGTAATATTGGTTTTACCTATTCCTGTTCTCCAAACATCTGTAAATTTCACCAAGTTCTGATCTGCAGCCATATAAATACTTGAGAAATAATTGAATAAAAATATAACAATGGATTTTCATATGTTCTCATAATTAACTTTAAAAACCAAATAAAATTAATTTAGAAATACAATATACTGAAGTAACTAATGGAGTCAATTGAAAATCAGAAGTAGAGCTAAAAAATATGGAGACTCAGTAGTGGGCAAGAGAGAGAATAAGATAACCTTGACTTCTCGGTAGTGGACAAGAACAATGTGCATAAAATCCCTACAAAAATGGGCAGATAGATAAGAAATAGTGCAGATGATACACAACAAAAGCCCTTCACTAAACAGAAAAAAGTTAAAAGAACCAAAAAGATGATTTCTTTTTTATAAAATAACGTAGCAATTCATGTTTTAACAATAATAACTGCCACAGCTAAGTCAAAACCAACTTCCACATGTCCTTAGTTCTCTTTTGTAATGTAACCAATATATTTTTTGGCATATAATAAGTTATGCATTGAAAGGTAAACAGTAAAGCAAATGCATTGACATTTTGAAATGAATTACTAAACATTTAAATAACATTTGAAATATGAACTTGTTGCATACTCACTCTTCAAGCATCCAATAACTTCGTCTTTGAAAATTTTCATTCTCTTCACCATGGGCATAGTAGCAATGTAGCACATCAACACTTCCAGCCTAAAGTTGTAAATTTCAAAAACACTAACTAATCAACATAAATATTTCCTTAAATCAAGGAGACTGCATCACAATGATAAACATTCAATGAAATGACAAAGACCTTAATCGAAATTGGGTTCCTACAAAACGTAATACCAAAGAAACATCCCAAATGCATAATCATGAAAAAAGCAAACAAAAGTACTCTTCTTGCTAATACCTACCTTTAATTTCTCATGAGCTTCCTTTACTGTCTTCCCATCTTTTTTCTTCCGCCAGTTATGACCATCCTTTCTGAAGTATCTCAAGACCTTTCGATCAAAAAGAAAAAGTGAACCACCTGGAAAAGAAAAGGTTGTAAAGTGAAGGTAAGTTTGCAATATATAAACCAGGCATAAATCATTAAACTGAATAATGGAAATTGTAATGTTTCCAAAGTGCATAACCAGTGATGTTTCCAAAACGTAAGTTTTTTTTTTTTTTTGGATTTGTGGGGGTGGGACTGAAAGAAAAAACTGGGGGCTTCTAGAATGAGTAGTCCCCCCAAGGATTTGATTTTCCACTGAAATGATGGAAGTGTAGCTAAAAATCTGCTGTTCTCCAGATTCTGCAGGTTTATATTTTCACAGCCAAACCATAGAATCTGGAAAGTGGTGGGTTCACCTTTCCATTTTGACCCTTTTTATGCTCCACCTTAATCCAAACACACCTAGAGTTTATTCAAGAATTAGTTTTTCATCAATAAGAGTCAGTATGCTGTTAGGTGGCATATTCCAGCCTACTTTAGGGATACTTGACATGCTTCATAATTAACTCATTCTTTCTAGTAGTCGATCAAGACTACTATCAGTCTTGAATTCAAAAGAAAAAGAATGAAGAAATTGCAGAAGAGAAGAAGAGAGAGGAGAGAAGATAAGAAGCATATGAAGAGAATTTGAAAAGAGAGGGTTCAGTCTTAACATCAGCCGACCCACTCTTAATATTTATATATGTTGACTAATTGTAAAAGGGCTGAATTGCCCTTATTGCTTACATGGCAAATAAACTAATAATAAAGCTGAAATAACAAACTGAAATAACTACCAACTAACAATGACATAACTAACAGAAATATGCTGCCATACAAACACAGTGGGGACAAC